ACTGTTTTAAATATTTAGCAATGGGATGTAGATTGGGATGTTAAAATAATTGATACTACCAAAATGGGATGTAGATACTACTGATATATACAGAATTGTATTAAATTAAATATTTTCTTTAAAACAGCAATGGGATGTAGATTGGGATGTTAAAACAGTGTTCTATGAACAAAAACAGTGTTCCATGAAGTTAATGAACAAAAACTGGTAGATGAAGTTAATGAACAAAAACAATGTTCCACGAAACCATACATTTTCAAGATAAAGCCTCAAAGTATCCTACCAACCATGCTTCTTAACTTCTCCTACCAACCGTGATTGACTTCTGTCAAAGAATCCTTATTAACTTCTCCCACCAACTGGTAGATGAAAAGTATCAGCATTTTAAATGTCGAATTCAAGTCCTCAACGCAAGAAATAGTCTATATATACAGATATCTTCCTTTTCTAAAAGCACAAGTCTTTTCCTATCAAAGCTACAATCATATTTCCATATATACTTTCTATAGAAATGTCTGCAAGTGTGGAATTGGGTGGAAAATCAATTCAACGTGGTCGGGCATTCTTAATAGAAGAGGATAAAAATCTATGTAATGCATGGCTTGAAATTTCTCAAGATCCTGTAAGGGGTACTAATCAAAAGAAAGAGAAGTTATGGGAGCGTATTAGTGCCAAGTATCATGAGCTCTTGCCAAGCTACAACAGTGGCTCTCGAACAACAAAATCCCTCCAATGTCGCATGGCTTTAATAATGAAGGCCATTAACAAGTTCCGGGGATGTGTTCGATCAGTTGAACGCCTTAATCCCAGTGGTGCTTCTGAGATAGATTATGTAAGACTTCTTACACAATTTTGTCATGTATTATGTATATGAGTTAATGTTTTAAAAAAAAAAAAAATGCCCAACAAGAAGTTCCTATATCTTACAAAATGTTGTTACTACTATAAACATTTTTTTCTTTTTATTTTTTTAATTCTCATTTTGTAGATGGATCAGGCCAAAATCCTATTTGCACAAGACCCTGAAGAGAGGAAAGGATTCCAATATGATCATGTATGGCCCATTCTTAAGGAGGCTGAGAAATGGCTTGACAATACCCCCAAAGAAAATCCCAAACAAGGGTATGATTGCTTTGAAGGATTTCAAAATGGATCCCCTGTATCTGCATCCTTAGTAGCACCATCATCCATTGATTTGGATGCAAATGAAGAGACTGTAGCAGAGGTGGATCATCACGTCGATTCATCGGGTCGTCCTATAGGGAGGAAGAAAGAGAAGTTAAGAAGGATGCAAATAGCTGATAAGAGTCATCTCCTTGAATCCATTGTTGAAGGAAACCAAGAAATCATGATAAATTTGAAAAGAGGGCAAAAGCAAAGAGAAGAACGATTTGCTAAAATGGAAAATGATTCTGCAGCGCGTGTCCAACTCATGATGTTACAAGCTGAAAATGAAAGTAAAAAATTAAAACTTCAACGTGAACATCAAGAGAAAGAAATCATGAAGATGGACTTGAAAAGCATTGCAGACCCAATTGATCGTGAGTATTTTCGAAGGAAAAAATTAGAAATTTTAGAACAAAATGATCAAGTAGCCAACAACTCTGTTTCTTTTAGCCATGGTGATTTTAGTAGCTTTAGGCAATATGAAGGTGGTGATGTCTTACCAGATTACTAGTGCTAGGACATATTTTATAAATATAACTATCATGTTGGGAAAAGACAAAACATCCCATTGCTAAATTAATAAACTGTTACATGTAAACTAAAAAATATAACTACCAATTCGTATATAAACTGTTAAATTAACAAACTGCTAATAAACTGTTAAATTAATAAACTACTAAATTAATAAATCGTTACATTTATAAATATAACTACCAACCCAACCTCTCCTAGTATCTTCCAATTTACATCCCATTACTAAAGACAAAACTAACAGCAATACAGAGAATTGTAGCCACTGATATATGTTGGGAAAATGAGAGAGCAGTGGCTTGAGTAAAAAACAAAGCTCCAGTACATGTAAACTCAAAAAGCTCCAAGTGCAAAAACAATAAATGGAGCATTCACATCAATAACCATGTCTTCTAAATGTGGCAATTACCATGTCTTTCCCACAAATGCTCAACCAATGCATTTCTCAAAACATAGTGAGCCTCTTTGTCTTTTATTTTTTTATGTCGGGCAAGAAACTGTTGAAATTGTTCTGTTTCATCTACCACCATCTCAACATTGGGGATGGTAGCTGGAGTACCAGAATTAATAACACTTGCATGTTCACCACCCTCATCCTCAACAATCATGTTATGCATTATGATGCACGCAGACATGATATCATGTAACACACACTTATTCCAAAAACGAGCTGGTCCCTTGACTATAGCAAATCGTGATTGAAGTACTCCGAATGCTCGTTCAACGTCTTTTCGACATGCTTCTTGCATCATTGCAAAGTGTTGTTTCTTCGGATCTTGAGGTTTAGAAATAGTTTGTACGAGAGTTGACCACTTCGGATATATACCATCTGCTAGATAATAGCCAACATTAAACTCTATGCCATGGATAGTATAATGAGCAGGAAGACCTATACCTTGGGTGAGATTCGCAAACAAATTCGATGATTGCAAGACATTAATGTCGTTGTTGGAGCCCGGTAAGCCAAAATATGCATGCCAAATCCATAGGTCGTGAGATGCCACTGCCTCAAGAATGATAGTTGGGGATCCACCACGTCCAGAGTATTGTCCTGCCCAAGCTGTTGGGCAATTTTTCCAAGACCAATGCATACAATCAAGGCTCCCAAGCATCCCTGGGAAGCCCCGTTCTTCACCTTTTTTTAACAAACTTGCAATGTCATTGGAATTAGGTGATCTAAGGTATTTTTTTCCAAATATCTCAACGATTGCCCGACAAAACTTTTTAATACATAGAATGGCAGTAGACTCACCAATTCGTATATATTCATCCGTAGAATCGGCCGCCGTTCCATATGCCAACATTCGAAATGCACTTGTTACTTTTTGCAAAGTAGACAATCCAAGTCTACCAAGACCATCCTTCTTCTGCACAAAGAAATCATCGTGAGCTTTCACGGCATCAACAATCTGTAAATATAAACTTCTACGCATTCGAAATCTCCTACGAAATAAATTTTCCTCATAGGTCGGGTTCTCTGAGAAGTAATCATTCCATAATTGAGCATGACCTTCTTCCCTTTTACGATCTCTCACTATATGTCCATAAACTGAACCTTTATGTACTAATTGATCATCTTCTTGAAGATATTGAGCTATGATGATGTTGTTGGAAGCATATAAATGAAGTAATATATTTTCTTCCTCTTCCCATGCCGCCATTTCTTCTTCATAATCAAGGAATGGTGGTAAATAAATATGCTCTGCATCCATTTCTTCATGAATATACTCAACATCCATTTCTGTTTCAGAAGCTCTACAGTCATTTGTTTTTGTTGTATGAGGGTTTGGCTTTTTTATAAAATAATAGATGGTAAGGAAAATAGATGGAGGGAAAATTAATGGAGGGAAAATTGATGGTTAATTTTGGAGGGAAATATTTACAGATTGTTGAAAATTAGAGAAGAAAATGCAGAATAATTCTAGAATGTTGATGCCGAATAAAATGCATTGGATTATTGCCGAATAAAATACAGATTGTTTCTGAAATGATTCAGAAGTGATTTACATTATTTATAGATTATTATTCTGCAAATCATTTCTGAATTATTTACAGATTATTCTGCATTGGATTTTGCATTGGATTTACAGATTGTTTCAGAAAATGGGTGCCGAATAAAATGATTTTGCATTGGATTCTGCAGAAGTGATTTACAGATTATTGATGCCGAATAATCCAAGTCTACCATAAACCTTCATCACAGCATCAACATTCATGTCTCCCCTGCCACTTTCTTCAGCAATGCAGAATAATTCTAAACCATGTTTTCACGGCATCAACAATTAGAGAAGAAAATGAAGGTTTATGGTTGGAGTTGGAATGAATAGTGATGTACTCTATATTCACTTTTTGAATAAAAAAAATTATTTTCATCCTCTTGGTGAGAGGATTGGATTGGAGATGCTCTAACACCTCTCATTTTCTCTTTCCTCTCTCTCTCTCTCTCAAACAAACCTCCTCTCTTTCTCACTCCAACTGTCGTTTTCTCTCTCTCCCCAACTCTCAGTTTCTCTCTCTTTTCCTCATAACTCTCCTCTCTTCTCTCTCCAACTCTTGTTCTCTCTCTCTCTCTTTCTCTCTCTACATTCTCATTTTCTCTCTCTTTTCCTCGTAAAAACATGAGCTAGAGAGAGATTCCTTGTGCAGGATTCAAATTGTATTTGAAAGCCCTTTTGTTTCCCTATATATACCCCTTCTTGCTCACTCCTTCACACAAAACCCTTCTCATCTACGTCATCTCTCTCTCTCCCTCTCCCTCTCCCTCTCCCTATACACATCATAAAAACATAGAGAGTCCATATATATATATATATACACATATAAGATGTTCAAGGGGAAAGAAGATTGAGGTGGAGAAGCTGCCAAAGATGGCAAATTTAACAACAGGAAAGAACAAAGTTATAGTCCCTCCGGTTAGAGGAAGCGTTAAGCGCCGCATGTTTACGACTGTTTCCAAGTGTTTGAAGCTCATGACCTCATACTTCATCAATTCCCTTCCCTGCAACAAAAAACAACCATCAAGATTGTTTTAACCATCTTTTGTCTTCTGTCACATGCAAATTCTCACCCATTTGCTTATAGTATATCTTTAAAGAAAATAAGCTCTTGCGAGAGCGAGTCTTTTTAAGTTGAAATGGATGATATTTTAGAAGTTGATAAAAATAGTCATTTTTATTTCTGTTTTTATTACTGTTAAGCAGGCCTTCGGTAATCTCGGATTACTGGCCGGTTACGGTGCTAAACCCATAGGGCCGGGTTTGGGTCGTGACAACTGTCAAACATACAATTGATAATAAGAATGCAAAGATAGAAAGGCAAAGCAACTCCATAATTGACCTCCAAATTGAGAAGACTATACTCCAACTTGAGAAAACTATGTTAGAAGATAAAATTGATGATGATGCAGTACATGCTGTCACACAACAAATAAACCAGGAGACTTTGGATGTGGAACTGAAGCAAAATTTGAAGAAGAAGACACAAAAAACTCCTACATCTTTGGTGAAGCACATCAAAATCAAAAAAATGAAAGAATTGAAGTTGCCTGATTTTGAATATCAAGACAAAAATGGTGACAAACAGAAAAGGAAGTTGGAAAATTTGGAACAAAATGACATTGAGAAGCAATGTGAAATTGTAGATCCAGATTTTGAAGGCTATTTGCACAAGCTTCGAGACTTCAAGCGTCCTAAACATAATAAGCTTAGGCTGTCCAACAAATATGAGGTTTGGAAGATTATATCTGAACAGGACAAGCAAAAGATAATGAATATGCACAAAAATGGAGGTTACAGGTAAGCATATTTCAAACAACTTCTATGTCTTTACATACCATCCTTGTCTTATTATATCTAAACTCTAAATGTAGGTTAACTGTTTGGTGAGGAACCACCAAGGAGACTTATGTTTTCTATGACGATCTTGAGTCAATAATTCGAGACAAGTCCATAACAAACAATGTATGGTGCTTTGTACATTGTCCATTAAAGGTTATATATATTAACATTCACATCATAATCACATTAACATTGAATATATACAGGTAATAGATGCATATGCATAAATTTTAAGAAGAAAGCAGGAATCAATGACGACAGATTCACAACAATTTGACAAATCATTCTCTTTCAACAGCTTGTGTTTGGTATAATTTGTTATTTTATTTTTTTTTATCCTGAATTAAAAACAAATTTGATCCCTTATTTATAAAACTAATTACTAACAAAGTGCTATCAATGTTTACAAAGCATGATTAAAGATGAAAAAGCAGAACTCCAAACCAAATTCATTGATCCTCACATCAAGCAAGCAAATCAGTACCGATATCTGCACTTTCCACTCCACTTTAAGTATCATTGGACCATAGTAGTGAGCGACATGGATGATGGAGTGTGGAAGCACTACAATTCAATGAGGCCCAGAGATGGTTTTGAAGACAGACACCTAGCTCAAGCAAACATAGTGGTAATTTCAATATTTCATTAAATAATATAAAAAAATGTACATCTTGAGTTACATATCAACGTAGTTAAAATATTATCTATTCTACACATCTAATCATATTCACAATCGCAGAAAACATATATCGAACCACATATTCAGAAATTACTCTCCACATCGGATATGGCAGATACATTAACACCCTCAGATTATGTCAAGCCATTGCAATCAGTTGATGCATGCCCTCAACAAGACCCAAATTTGTGAGTATTTACAATTAATATTCTCATTGACATAGTAGCTACAACCAATGTAAATATAACAAAATATTGATTCTTTCTTCCTTTTTTTTTTTTTTCTCCTACAGTCTTAATTGCGGAGTTACACTTTGCTACATAATGAGGCAACATGCCCTTCATGAACCAATTGAACCTGTTCTGGACAAGGAAGCTTGGCTTGCTATGAGAGCTCTATTAGTTGAAGCATTTCTGAATGATCCTGAAAGAACAAACCATCCAAGTTTTGTTGTTGACACCAACGAGGATGCATCTCAGAACTAGACTTCATATTTTCACACCTTACCATTTTCTTTTGATGTATTGATGAAACAATGTTAACATCAGCTTTTGTCCAAGTACAATATGTTTTGTATATAATATACCACTCACTAACATGTGAACTTGGGTATTGTTAGTTAGCAAACAATCATTCCACAAAGATGTTGATATGAATAGCTATATACATTTTGTCTACCAAGAAATGTACTTTTAATATCAATGTTCTTTCTTGGTCTTATTCATGGTGTATGAGCATTATTAGTCATTATATGTGTTTGTTAAGCACAACACAATGTGAAAGTTTACATATGTATATCATATGCTCACCCTGTCAACACATATTGGGGATATATGTAACTTTTCTACATTTTATTTTGCAAAAAAATCAAAACAAACTATTTCAAAAAAAAAAAATGTAAAGAAACTTCAAAATTATAAATTTCATAGAACAAATCAACTTTTTATTGACACATTGTATCAAAATATGAAAATTCACATTAAGAAGCTTGCACCAACAAGTACACTCATACATGAACTACTAAATTGTTTACTAATGCAAATGTATGTAACATTCACAGCACTATATTATTTATCTAAAATAAATTCTACACTATAAATACTCACAACTCAACATAATATTCACAACAATATCCAACACATGAACCAAACTCACAACTCAACATGATATTCACATGAACTCTATTATTTTATCTTTAACAACTTTAATTGTGGCTGCCCATCTTTTTCCATCTACCACACCTCAAATCTGTTCAAAAACATATATCATATTCCATCCATGAACACATATTGTGTATATATGTAACAAGATAATATTTTGTTTTGATAAAACTGATAAACAAACTATTTCATAAATATACAAAATGAAAAAAAAAAAAAACTACAAAATGTGATCATTCACAATGTGAAAAACTACAAAATGACAAATTGCATAGAATTAATGAATCCTTTCTTATTAAAAAATTGTATCGAAATACAAAACAAGTACACCAATGTATCAACTAATAAAATGTGTATCCAATGCAAATGTATGTAACATTCACAATGGTATCTTATTTATCTAAAAAAAAAAAAAAACACTGTAAATGTTCAAAACTGAATGTGAAATTCACAATGTCCACCAACCCATCAACCAATATAACTCTGTATTGGTTCTTTACACGACTTCCGATTGTGCCTACCCATCTTTCCACATCTGCCACACCTGATTTGACTTAATTTTTCCCCTCGAGATGGTATCCTACTCTTTCTCGGCCTACCAGCTGGGCATTTTACAATTAGAGGTAATATGATGAAATCGCTAGAGCAAAAATCTGGTTTCTCCACAGATGGTATTGGGAAAATAGCCGCTGCATATGCTTCCCTATAATTCTCTACATGAAAATATTTTTCAACATAATCATTAAGATTATATGCACACCTTTGGATAGCTGCAACAACATGTTCACAAGGAAATCCATTGACTTGCCACTGGTAGGAAGAACAAACACAGCATCCAACATCAACCGTAACTGATGGAAATGAATGCACCTCGAACACATCATCATTAGCTTTACTCACATTCCATGACGTACTAGAATTAAATGAATTTTGGAAGTTAGTCTCAAAGGTAAGGCAAATAATTCCATTCCACTTGTTTGCAATATCCCTTCGCTCTGACATTTGACACATTATTTGATACCGGATAGTATCAACCAATTTTGTTATTGGAAGATTTCGTGCTTCTTTAATCCAATTGTTGAATGATTCAGCAGCATTGGATGTCATCTCGTCATATCATTGTCCTCTAACACATAACAGCAAAAATTGTCACAATTTAATACCATATGTGACATTTCACATTGATGTGACATTTCACATTGTTGTAACAACACAAAAATATAAACAATATACATATAACCATCATTATATTCCATGAAACACACAATTGTACACAATTTACCTAAAGTAAGCATTTGCCCAATGTTCTGGTTCTAACCCTGACAAGAAATTATATGCTCGTTGCTTCCCCTCACTCTTCAACTCTTCTAGTAATGCATGAAAACCTGTCACAGTAGGTTCATATGCACAATCACCCAACTTTCGTACTAAGTGTTCCTTGAAACCATTCTCCATACCTTTCAACTTGTCCCTAAAATTATTCTTTAGGTGTTGTAAACACCATCCATGATATGCTGATGGGAATGCCTTTGGCATTGCTTCCAAAAGCCCTAGATTACGATCGGATACAAATGTCATGCGTCTATCATCAGCAATTACTTTTGACAATTCATATAGAAACCATGACCAATTCGATTCACTCTCCGAATCAACAATTGCAAAGGCTACTGGAAACAATCCTAAAAACAAAACCAATATTAACAGTCACAACTCACACACAAAAAGTAAACAAATGTAAAACTTCACATCAAAAAACTAAACAAACCTTGGTTACCGTCTTTAGATGTCGCTGCAAGCAACTGCCCTTTGTATCTCCCTTTTAGAAATGTTCCAGCAAGAAAAAGCAAAGGGTGACAATATTTGAAGCCATTTATGCACGCAACAAATGCTATAAAAAATCTTTTAAACTGACTAGTCTTCAAATCATAGTCAATATTGATATGACTTCCAGGATTATAATGCTGAACAGCATCACCATACCATCTCAGTTGGTCAAACGATGTTAAGTAATCACCATGCATAGCCTCTCTCGCTTTCTCAATACCTAACCATGCTACATGGTAGCTGATATCAAGTCCATAGTCTGCCTTGAAACTATATGCCACATCAGTGGGACGCGTTAGTGGTCTGTCCCTAACACGCTCAAATACAACATTTGACACCAAATCAAAGCTGAGCCTTGGATTTTTTAAAGTACGAACATCAGCACCATAACTATGTATCTTAGTCCATCTCTTAAGGTAGAAAAATTGGTTTGCTCTTTGGACTCTACCATACACAGACCACAAACATCCTCTATCATCTCTATGTGAGCATACAGCAGTAATTCGTTGTGAATCATTCTTCAAATATTTGAATTTAAACCCACATTGCATTGCATAAGCATAAAATAGTACGAAACTCAAATGCTCCTTCTGTGAAACATTGACCAACATGCGTAATACCATTTGCCCAAACTGAAGACAACAAAACCTTCTCACTGTGTGCACAATATCTACGAAGCAAATTTATTTGATCCTCATCTTTAATGCATGGATTTACTAAACTACTATGTCTATTAGTGCCCAATTTTTGCTCAACAACAATATCAATTCGTTCAACTCCAATTGATTTACCAAGCAATAACATGTTTTGCAATTCCTCATTCTTATCCAAATGACAATTTGTATACCCCGGCAGTCGGTTAAACATAATGATTGAATCAACAGACAAATCACACCATTTGTTGCACACACATTTCACTAACTCGTCAAAGGAAAATGATTGTACCACATTTATCACAGATATGTTTGACCCATAGCAGCACAACAACAACATCAAAAAATTCATTTGTCTCGTATCACACTGCAAAAAAAATCAATATTACATAAAATAATTTGAATATTCAATCACATTCATATGTGTGAAGATTTGCTAACACAATGAAATGTATCAGGATTTTTAAATAGTTCAGATATTCACATCATAAAAAAAAAACTCTACCTCCTCAACAAACAATCATAAGCTCTACATTTATCATCATACACACCACATACAACAAATTTTCAACTCACAGTATACACACATACATACAATTTTAATTATAAAATTCATATACTGATAGCGTGAACTTCCAGTTCACTAAATGCTTAACAACAGTTTGTTCAAACACTGATGCAACAAAACTTCATCATTCAAAATTTCACATGAACACAATGATTTCATCACAACAACGAATCAATCACTAATCGCATGACATAAACATCACCGTAATCAATTGATGATAAATGATGAAGAACGACAAAGAACAACGAAGAACAAAATTGATGATAAACGAAGAAGCATGACAGAACAGAACAATGAAGAACAAAATTGATGACGAACAATAATGAAGAACAGAACAAATCAAAACACCAATCTCAAACAAAAACTAAACTTCTCCAGAATATCGGACAAAATCGCAAATCGAAAATCGTAAAGACAAACCACAAATTGCGAATCGCACAAAACCTAGAGCTTCAATAATCGCAAAATCGCACCCAATCTATAGCTTCAGAAACTACGAAATTGAAAATCGAAAATGGCAAGGAGAAATCAGAAATTGCAAAGAATCCGGAATCCAAACGCAGATCGCTGACTTCCCAAAAATTATATTCAAACAAGCACCTATATATATAAGGGTAAAGTGGTAAAAAATATACATAATAAAACTGAAAATAGGACCTCCGAGTCTAAAAGTATAAACTTTGGGATTTAATAAAATAAAAATAAAAAACATGGATTGATTGGTATAAAAAAATCTAAAATAGGATTTTCTGGTAATTTTCCCTTATTATGATGTATTTTTTCTATAGTTATTGATAATTTTTTGATGTATTAATGGAGAAGTTTTGAAGTGGTTCATGAACAAATTCAAGTGGGACTCACTTATTGGTTAACAGTGTACAGGGGTCTTGATATTTTTATGTTTGCATTTTGGGAGATTATAATTTTATTTGGTTTTCAAATACAAATTATTTTTTAGTTTTTTGTTTTTCATGTTTATTTGATTTTAGTAACTTTTGAAAAAAAAAAACATATTTTAGTGAATTTTAGTCTTGATTAACTTAAAAAAAATAATAATTGAAAAAAAAATCCCAAGATGATAAATATATATATATAAATTTGGTTTATATAAATATAAAAATCTCAAATGAGTATGAATCAAGCATATCACAAGCCAAGTTTAAGTAGTTTATATTTTGTATAGTATAGTATATATATATATATATAAGTACTCAAAAAGAAAGAAAAATTTTATTATTTGGGTATCGTTTGGAAAGTAACATTTTTAGTGATTTTTTTGTCTAAAACCCAAAAAGAAAGAAAAAATTTATTATTTGGGTATCATTTGGAAAGTAACATTTTTAATGATCTTTTTGTCTAAAATATGTGGTGAAAAAATTAATTTTTGTAAATTTTTTTTAACAAAAACATATGCAGAAAGTAAAATAAATAAGAATGAATATTTGACTTTGTAGAGTGACTTTTTCATATGAGTTTAGCTAAAATAGATATTGCCAAACCAGGGCCTTAGTATAGGGCTTTCAGATGGGACTGGAGTCGAGTTTTATTTAGGTCAGTTCAGTGTTCGAAGAGGGCTTTAGGCCAGGCTCATAAATAGGCTCATGAAGGCCAACTACGTATTAAGGGCCAGCCCATTATTAAACCTGGGCCATACTAAAGAGAATGGGCTAGGCCCGCCATGGCATCCGAACTCTAACGCCACCTCTAATTGTCTCTGGTTTGGAACTCGCATCGCAGAGAAGTGTGGGAGGAGAGAGAGTAGAGAGAGAGAGAGAGAGATGGGAGGAGGGCATGGAGGAGATGGACACAGCACAACCTACAAGGGAGTAACCTTGCATCATCCAAAGCGCTGGCACACCCTAACTGGAAAGGGCATGTGTGCTATCATGTGGTAACGGCACCTTCCACTACTCTCTCTCTCTCTCTGTCTCTCTTCTCCTTCCTCACACATCGTCATTGACGAAACCCTATATCATATGATTTCCATTTTTTATTCGTATTTGATTTTGATTGTTGGTTCATGCTCGTTATAATCTCAGATCTGCCTGTTTTACTTTCTTAGGGCTTGTAAACACAATTGACGATCAAAATTGCTAGTAATTAACCCGTTAGGGTTTTATGTAGTTTTCGATTTGCAATTGATTGAAGATCATTCCTTTTAGCCTATATTTGATGATTTTTCTTGTTTAACGAATTAGAGTTTCAAGTCTACTGTCAGTTCAATATCATTTTCAGTTTGGCCGAATGAAGAATGGTAAATGAGCTTGCATTGGTTGGATTAAATTTATTTCTAGGGATTAGATGTTCCCATCCCTAATCAGAAAGATTTGGATGTTTAGATGACTATTTCGCCTTTCATTATTCTCATTTCAGGTGCCATATTTTCAGGATTTCTAAGTCAACTGAAATTGCTATATTGTTACTATGTATATTATATTACATCTACAAATAATCAAAATTAACAGAAACAAACACTATTTCAATATTTTAAAGAAAATATCCTAAACTTAACTCTTATCGATTATGTCATTTTTATTGATAATTTATTAATTATTTAAATCTAGGTAAAAAGTAAATAAACATTCAAACAAATTAATTAAATAAAGTGACACGCACACTACTTGTCTTGTATGTCTAACCGCCGTGTTTGATCCGCTACGCAGTGTTTTTAAGGCGAAAGCGAGCTTGAGACGCCTAGCGCGAGGCGACAAGGCGAGGCGAAGGGCTTTCATCGAATCGAGGCGACCACAAACGATATTTTTTTAAAATAAATAGTATAGACAAAAATTAAATATTTTCAAGAACCTACTCATGCATTTATCATTCCAATAACTAAATAATTGAAATTTTTCATTAAATAATTCAAAATTTTTCAGCAAAATAATTAAAAAAATTCGGCAAAATTAATTGAAATTTTTTCATTAAATAATTGAAATTTTTCAGCAATATAATTAAAAATTTTCAGCAAAATTAATTGAAATATTTTCATTAAATAATTGAAATTTTTCAGTTAAATAATTGAAATTTTTTCAGCAAAATAATTATATAATTAACACAGAAAAATAATTGTAAAAATAACACAAAAAAATAATTAAAAAAGAAAGAAGACAAGGAGAGAAAAAATTAACAGAGTAGAGTTAACAAAATAATTAACAGAGCCAGGAGAGAGAGAGAGAGAGAGAAAGGAAGGAAGAATAAACGTATATTTTCAAAAGCACAGAAAGTAAAAAAATTAAAAAATAAAATAAATAAATAATTTAAAAATAAAAAAAGGGTTGCCTACAGAGTATAATTTTTCAAATCAGAGTCGAAAAAAACAAGATGAAGAAAGAAGAAAGCGACGGAAGAAGAAAAGAAACGAGACGCGCGCAGCAGCACAGCAGCAGGAGAGAGAAAGGAAGAAGGAAGAGAAAAGGAAGAAGACAGGAAGGTACTCACCTTTGATGTCCGAAGGAAGGAAGAAGCAGCCGCAGGTAGTCAGTCAGGTCGTTCGAAGCAAATGTCGACTGAGAGAAGTGACTTAGGCTGTCTTCGACTTTCATATTTGGTAGAAGAACAATATAAAGTGCTCGCTAATGTCGACAAATGAGCACAAAAGTCATCTAAACTGAAAGGGCGCAGATCTTGTCGAAACTGAAATCAGACCGAAATTGCTGAAGCGTGCTTTTGAATCGCCTCTCGCTTTCATCGCTTCTAAGCCTCGCCTCATGCCGCTTTGACTTTGCCTCACCATTTCGCCTCGCCTACAGTGAGTTATGAAGGCTTACATCGTCGCACTCGCCTCGCTAGGCGCTTGGCGAGCGGCTAATGTCACGGCCTCTCCAGAAACTTATATTTATATCTGGGTCCGCTAATGCCGAACCTATTTAAAAGTGTCATGCTTCATAGTTGAAAGGTTCACACACAAGGAGCACACCACACACACCAAAAAAAAAAAAAAAAAATCATTTGCTTGTTCTTATTTTAAAGGTATCAGTTACCAAGAATTAATAGAACTTGAGGCACTTGAGAAAATGCATATCTTTGGAGGATGTGAACAGAAGAAGGGCATGCTTGACTGGAAACATGTGCCATTGGAATTTTTTATTATTATTTATCAAGGGTTGTTTTGTATCTTAAACTTTGTTTTATATTTCTATATTCTATATTCTATTTGGTATAAATACCATTGAAAGTTTGTCAATTAGTGACTATTCTGCCTCATTTGCACTTATAATTGATCAATTTATTTATTGTATACATTGGTTTGCAACTTATAAATTGATATTTTATTAATCAATATGCATTGACTTTCATCTGACACAGTACACAGTATCATCAATTTCGTGGTCAATAATTATTTTTGTAAATTCATAATTTCAAATTTAAATGGCATTGGACTGTTGCATTTAATTATTGTGTG